GTGTGTGTTTGAAGGACAAAAAGCTAAGGAGTTTATAGTTTACTCTCTTTAAAAATGGGAAACTCTTAAAGCTAAACAGTAAATGATCATACTCATGCTTTAGAAAGAGTCCTCTTGTGGCACTACACAAGATGATTGGAAGAGGGAAAACTGGACACAGGGATACTATTAATATTATATTGGGAAGGTTAGGGGGTACTTAAGATTGTAGTCACAGTGAGAAGGGGAGAGAAAATCACAAAGATTTCAGTCTGGAGTTGGCGATAGCTGGGATCAGTATTATTTTTCAAAAAAAATTTTTTTTGCCACAATCTACAAGAAGAAATACATTTCACTATTATGACCCAGTGTACATGCTTGTACATGTGTATGTACCTAAATGTACATATAAATATACAATGCAAAGATTTCACTAATCAATAATAACCCAATTACATGTAATAATTTAAGTTCTATATCATTTTTAAAAAACTGGTAATCAAAACCCAGTTATAGGTCAAAACGTGTAGTTTAAGAAACCCTCCATAGGCTGGTGGACACAGGTAGTGTTGCATTCAGGGCTGTGGCCACCGAAGACAGTTCTAGAGGCCCAAGGCGGCCATGTTCATTACCAACACAGGGAAATGAAAGCAACAAGAAGTGTTCTAAAAGAGATTAGTCCTACATGTTTCCTTTGCAGGCTATTGACTTTAAGGTTGTTGTTGACCTGAGGCATTTAATGCTATCTGTGTTACTTAAGTAATGATTTACCATTTGATGGGACTTGCTGTTCTTTTGTAGTCTTGCTGGTTGATTACACTGCACGGATTAATTAGGTATTCATGAGCATACATATCTCACAGCCAGGCTTTTAGCAAAGCTCCTTATCTTTGCTACAGATTCCTTCATGATATTTCTGGAGTCAATCTGTTGCTACACTTAAAATTAAATGGAAGAGGCTGCTATATCCAACTGTTAATTCATTTTATATACTACTCTGTAAAATGCCTGAAGCCCTGGAGCACAGGTTTTTAAAAAACAAAACCATTAAAATGTGATGCTAATTTTGGTCTTGATGACCGTACCCTGCAGAGTTAGAGTTGCCTGGTCTGCTCCAGGCAAAGTGAAAGTGATGCTGTGAGCACCGAATGAACGTGTGCACGGTTCCGTTCTGTCATCTCCAACAGGAGTTCCCTAAGACTGAAAAGGCCATTGACTAGTTAGGAGAACTTTAAGTACATTTGCATATAACTTTCTTAACTCTAATAGTAATTTTCATTTTTACTAAAATAATGGTTGTCATTCTGTTCTTCCATATTAAAAACATGTTATATTGCTTTATCATTTACAAAGCACTTTCACGTGTGTTATTTTTTAATAGCTAACATTTATTGGGTATTAGTAATGCCCACCCAATGTTAGTAATGTTAGTAACAGGCCAGGCATTGTGCTAAACACTTGATATGCATTATCTCACAGAATCTTAAAACCAAATCTATGATGTAGGTATTGTTCATTTTCCAAATTAGAAAATTAAAGAAACTTACCCAAAGACCACAAAGCTCCTAAGGGGTGAGCCATGATTCAAACTCAGGTTTGTCTGTCTTCAGAAGTTAAACTCCTAAGCATTGAATTATATTTTATCTGTTCCTCTAAATACATTTTTCTGAGGCTTAGTGATGCCAGTTGATTTACATAAGATTATCAGCAAATGAGTGATAACGCCAGGACTCGCACTCAAGCCATCAATGCTAAGTCGGTGCTCTTCCGCCACCTTACACTGCTGCGTAATTGAATGACCCCACATTACCCATGTCAGCAATAATCACAGGCAGACAGGACCCAGGGGAAAGAGGGGAGAGGGAAAAGGCTACTCCAGAGTCACAGGCACAGAGTGCTGCTGGCATGCCCCCACCCTCTGTGTAAAATCAAAAGGAAAACAGAAGAAAGAATGCACATTTAGATGTGGCGGGCGGGAAAAAAATGAAACGATATTACTTTACACTAATTTAAGGCAGCTGTATAACCTCTATGTTAGGAGACAGAGTTCAAATGACAGAAAAGAGCTAGTATATGGACTAAACAAGAACATGTGTTTAAATATTTAAAGAACTTCTGAATCTTAACATGAGAAAGTCAATAATAAAAATGAAAATACATGAAATAAAGTTAATATATCTTTCTTTCACAAGAGACTAAGATAAGGAAAAATACAAAAAGAAAATTCTTAGTATTGGAAGCTCTAGAAAGCAATCCTTCAATGAGAGAAAAACTCCAAACTAGTCCACCATGGTTATAAAAAGTATACACATACAGCCAGGCGCAGTGCCACGTGCCTCTAGTCCCAGGTACTCGGGAGGCTGAAATGGGAAGATCACTTGAGCCCAGGAGTTCAAGTCCAGCCTGGGTAACACAGTGAGATCCCATCTCTTAAAAAAAATAGTACACATGTACATAAGACAGATTTTACAATCCAGATCATGCACAGGTCTAGAAAATAGATCAATAACCTAAATCAATTGCTTTTAAACAGTTATTAAAAATCCTTCTCTAAAAAGGATTATGAATATCAAAGTCCAATGAAGTCTAGCATGAACACTGAAAATTACTAATGTCCAAAAAATAGGTTTTGATTGATAAAGCAATTTATTCCAATTTTCTCTTCCTCAATAAGCCATTATTATAGCTCTAACTCTGGTCATGTACTTGGTTCTTGGATCTTTGCTTCTTTTTTTGGCAACATACTCAAGAATTCAAATAATCACTAGGCTGTATGGAGCAGTAAATTCAATATAACATTTAATAAAATATTCAACTTATTTTTCAACAAATATTTATAAATAGATGTTGAAAGTAAGGCTGTTTAAAAACAGACAAAAAACACTGCCATTGACCAGAGTGCCAGTCTGAGAGGCAGTTTAAATGGAACACTACTTCAAAAGCAAAATTCATTATGATGAATGTGTCAAGTGAAATTAGAAATCCACTAATGCTAATTGGATATATTCTGAATGCATTAAACTTCTGAAGATATTTTTATGAACCGTTTGCAATTTCCTATTAACACCCACGCATGGCTGCACTTTGGATATACCCTCAATTTGACACAATATAGGTTATTATGCTTAATAACTTTTGATCTCTCAGGGTGATTACATAGTTTAAAGAAATGAGAAAAGCTACAGTGTGAAAACACTACTTCTGAAAGGAAGGGAAAATGAAATATTAAAAAGCTTGAAGAGTAATGACAGAGTAAATACGGTTGTGTTTTTTCAAATATAAGAATTCTAGAGCCAGATGGTCACCACGAAAATCTAATATACGAAAATTAGAACTTGCCAGCCTATGGGAAACGTAAAAAATTTCAAGAATGGTTTTACAGATAAGTTCAAAGAGGGTTTATCAATCAACAGACATTTCCATAGTGGTCAGTGAGTGAATATAGGGCATTCAGACAAAATCCCCCAGCTGCTAAGACTGATGTCACTGAGGACAATCCCATTAGTTCACATGCAGTCCCTTGGTGCCTCTGTCAGAAGCAGAACACTGGGCTTCGTGGAGAAAAGGTCCAGTGAACAACAATGTTCTTAGTAAACAAAATGACAGCAGAGCAGAAAGAAAAAACCCAACAGGTTTTGCAAATGTGGTTTATATAAACATAAGGTGCTGACAGAAAAGGAAATGAAGTCCTCTAATTCCCTGCCATAGAGCTACAGCCAGCTACTAGACATACATAGCCTCCAAAACTGCAGAGGCATCATACAGTGCCTTAGGACAACTCAGAAGGATGACACCATACAATGACGGCATTGTTCTTATCCTAGGGTCGTTGATGTACAGACCCGTGGAATGATAAATGAGTATACAGTGTTCATTATAACTACGAAAATAAATTATGTTACGTATAGAGACAAAAGCAACTTCACAGCTTCATTCCAGGGCTATCCCAGTGAGGGTGGTGTCGGCCCACAAAGCAGGGTGGAGTTAGGAATGTCTGGTCACACTGCTCATCTCTTCACCCTCCCCACTGAGGGGGTTAGGAGGACACCAGCTTCACTACTGAGCTTTTCTTCCCATTCCACACAAATATCCTTAGCCCGTTTAGCCTGTGTCTGATGCATGTTTAGTCTTCACCGAGGAGATGCTCAGGCCAAAGATAACATGCAATCCCTTCTGTTCCACCTAGAAAAAAATACTTGTTGGGTGAGGAGATAGGTAATAAGCCAAACTCCAATTTTCTTAATGTAATAAGGACTTTCTCTATTGCACAAGATACAATATGTTTCTCACGCAAAACATTTATTTTTGCACATCTGCCCAATAGCAGCTCAATTAAAAATAGGCCCATCAGACTGACACAATTGCCTTAACTTCTCAGTTCCTGTCACACTGCAGATAGCAGAAAAGCACTTAACAGCAGCTACAAGGCAATTTTCCAGTAAGTCTTGTTAATCTTTATACAGTCATCCTCATGCAGCCATCAAAGTGAACTTAATGACAAATCAGTTAAAATAAATTACTTTTAGAAACTTGTTTAAGAATCAGATAAAAAGCAAACCATATGTGACATCGCTTTGGTCCTCCCCATGATGGCATACAATTGTCACCATCTGTGCTGTTTATTCCATTTGCTGACCTACCTGCCTCCTAACCACCCCCAGAGCCACACTTTGCCCTTCTCTGTCCTGTTACGGGCCCCGAGAGGCTGACCCCTATGGACCACAGGACCATATCTGTATCAGCTGTGACCTTGCTCTCTGGCTTCCAACTGGGCTCAGCCAATGAGAGGCACAGGAGGATGGGAGGAGAGATGGCAGGAAGTCATCCCCCTCCTCACTGCTCCTGCAGCAATGCTGTTAGGCCCTGGGTGCTTCACTAGTCCTTGCTGTTTCCGTAACCCTGCCCATATCTCTATAAACAACCCCTTAATTAGTCTTCTTCAGTCTAAACACCTCCTTGTTGGCCAAGACCTTGGCTGACATGCTGTTAGCAGCCAGAGGCTCCAAGCTAGGATCACTCACATGAACTGTGTGGACCAAGTCGGCCAACAGGCACTGCTTCAGCTTCTCGTCACTGCTGGTCCCATGAAGTACGAGATCAGGCATGTACGTGGGGCAGTAACCTGCCAGAAGTGATCGGCCAAAGTTTCTTACATTCTGGATGCTGATGCTCTGAGACCTAAAACAACATTTGGCCCATTAAAATGCACAGTTGAAAATGTACTTCCTTCTTTCATTATAAATGGAACAAAAGCCCTGATGACAGGTAAATAAAACAGATTCAGGGTGTCCTTTTTCACCAGTCCTCCAGTAAGTGGATCGTTGGTGTGGGAACACGAAGGGGTGGGGAAAGAAAAAGGAGTTTTTTTTTTAAAATGGAAGGCCAGAAAAGTATTATATTTCCATGGGTGGTTATGAGTTTTTTCTTGTACCCCATATCAAACATCCACCAGGCGGTCTGTTATCAAAGAGTGAAGATCGAAAAAACCTGAGGAAGGGCTCTTGGCAAAAGTCTGGTTTAGGAATTTGACATATCTGCACAGGGTGGTGCCCGTGACAGTGCAGAAGAACAGAAGAAATCTCTAATTACTGCTTTCAGTCATCACAGACCAAATAATCAACCTGATGGAGTGTTAAGGAAGAGGTGTTGTTTCCCAACTACCTCACGCTGTTCTGATCGGCAGGCGAGAGGCCACACAGCGAGCGTAATCCACCACCTCCGAAGTCAGGCATCTGCTGCCAGCCATACAACTTCCCCACAGATGACAGAAAATTAAACTCCCTGTTCCCTGCCACCACCTCTACCACATCCCTGAGCTTCTCCAAAATGTCATGATGCTGCAGAGACAACCACTGGCCTTCTTCATCAGTGAGCTCAGTCGCACTAAGCCAGTGATCATCCTTGGACAAAGGACGAGCTGGAAACTGCCCATCCTGAGTTGGTAACACTTCTAATACTTTGAGACAAAAATGCAATGTGTGTCAAGCAACCAACAGTAGCCAACGTGATCATGGGTGTCAGGCCAGGAAGACAGTATCTGAACCCAGTTCCCTCTACTTCCTGGCCTGCCTGCATTACCTTGGCAGGGGCAGCTCCACTTCCAAGCACCCTTCGGTCCTGTCATCACTGTGACCTAGATCTGGTGTGGCTGAAGCACATGCTTCGTCGTCACTGTCTCCAAGAGCGCTATCAGAACTTTCATTCCTGGGAATGTCTCCTTCGATCCTGAAGTCGGCCTTCTTGTCGTCATCCCCACAGGGGACATCTGCAGCAACCAAGAGGCCAGAGTCCTGCTGGACACACCTGTCTGCAACAGGCTCGAACAGAGGTCCTTCCGCAGCCTTCAAATACAAACCTCGCGTTTTCTCCAGCGTCCCCCTTCCAGTTCCTGCCGCAGTGTCAGCAGGTGCACCCGAGTCAGCGGTGTGGCTGAGTTGTCCAGCAGCATCTGTCGTGGTGTCGGTTCTGATGCCTCTGTCCTCAGCAAAACCCCTGTCAGACTCACCTTCATCCCCCTCAGAACACTGATACTGAGGACAGCAGACATTCTTTTCAAAGCCAGGTTTGAAGAAGCACCTAGAAACCTGTGGGTCCTGAGCCACGTCAGTGGCTGCCCTGGGCTCGGTTGAGGGACTGGCTGACTCTGGACATTGTCTGCAGGCCCTTAGCTGCTCCTCCATTTTTTTTGTGCGGCTTTCAAAGTCAGACTCTGGAGATGCGGAGCTTCCAATCTGGAAAGTGACCTTTTCTAAAGGAGGCCTCTCACGGGAATGTCTGTCGGGGCAAGGCCAGGCCGCTGACCGGTCTGGTAGTTTCCTGGGCATCTCCCCTTTCAACTGCTCCCTGGAAGTTTGTTGGTGGATCTTCATTCCTGTCCCCAGACCTTTGCAGCTGGAAAATCTTGAAGAGCCATCTTGTGGTGCCTCTTTTATACTTTCTTCATCCACACAAAATGCACCCTCAAGTTTCCAAGAACTGTCTAATGCTGCCTCTTGGAATCCCATGCTACAAGCCTCAGAACTCTGCTCTGCCCTCTTGCTTCCTTCCTTGTCAGGTTTGGGACCCAGGTCTCTGATGTCAGTGCCCTCCAGGGTCTCCGGTAACCCTGCACGCTGGGGGTTCTTTCTCTCGGCAGTCGTTAGCGGTAGAATGGGGGGTACGAGAGCAGGCTCATTTCTCACCGTAACGACCACATACTCAGACTCCTCCACCTCTCCTTTCTCCAAGGCTGTTACAATCTTGCTCCCATTTAAAACTTGGTCACCTTCACTGTGATTCCCACTCCAGGTCAGCTGATTCTCTTGTAGCTCAGAGCAACGGAGAAAGTATGTGAGGACATAAAGTATGCGCTGGACCAAATCCTTCTGCTTCCCTACCACCACGGTGCGAGTCAGTCTCACTGGAGAACCTATGGCTCCGTAAAGATCACCTAGAGAGCAAAAGCGAACAAAAGACAAAGTCCTCTGGGGTTAGCATGTCACAGATATGTCAGCCTTTACAAGAGCAAAACAGATGACTTGTATTCCCAACCCAGAGTCATTTCTTCAGACACCTGATTTCTAATTTCTAGTAATGACCATGTTTTAGTTTTGCCTGTAAAGGAGAGTCAGCCTGGAAAGCCGTGGCACAGGCTGCAGCCCACCACCCTTGGTGCACAGAGCCAGGCTATTGTGGACACCGTGCCTGTTGGGTCTTCCCATGTAGCGCACTGGCTGAGCCAGTGGCTGGGCCAAGCAAGGCTAAAGCAAGAGCTCCAAGTGTGGCCAGGTCCAATACTGAATCTCTGAAAGTGGAAGAATTTGTTAGAAGAACCCCAGGACAATGGGCCTGGAGATGAAATCCAAATTCAAGGATTTGTGAACAGAAGTGCTGTGAATAAATTCAAAATACTTCATCAGGTGGTCTGCTTAGGTTTCTCTCAATACACATCCACACACCAGGTAGAATCGGTTTGACTAACAAGAAGAAAATCACTTAGTTATGATTAATGAAGTCTGAAGGTTTTATTTTATTTCACATAAAAGTTCTGCTGGAAAAAAATATGTCCCATTAGTTATATCCTGACAAGTTGATTAAAAATTGGCTAATGCACCGCAGGTCTACATTCCACTTAAGGATGGAAGAATAAGAGCAAGTGTGTCATCCAACCACCCAGCGGTAGGAGCTTCTCATCAAAAATATTTTGGTTAACTATTAAAACTATTGCATTTGATAACCTGATTATTACATTGGATAATAAGTTATATATTTGATACTTTGTTGGTAATAATAATATGGACAATTATAATAAAGAGCCAGTATTTACTGACTGGACAGGCACTATGCTAAGAGCCTAAATGTTTATTTTATTGTATCTCTGTATAATCAACCTGGAGTTAGAAACCATTAAAGAAATAACCATAATGTTGGAACAAATCAAAAGCTGAAAAGATACTAAATAAAGGAGACATGATACATGGTAGTATTAATAGTTATAAATAAGAACTTAGGAAGTTAGAACTCATCTGAGGAATGCATCTAGAGGAGGGGAAGGCATTATAAAGGCATATACTAGATAAAACTAATTAAAATCAATAAAGATGGAAAAAAGTTATGAGAACCACCAGGAAGTATGTGTCCCTGGGGGCGCATCAGGAAGTACTTCCTCTAGAGAGTGTTCCCTGGTGTAAGGTTCCTAAGAACATTCAAAGGGCAGGACAGAAATAATAATCAACAGTCCTCTCTATAAAAAGACTAGATTATAGGCCAAGTGAACCTAATTTTGCAGCTTTTGCAACTGACTGAGAAATCATCCTAGAATTCAGAAGAGTAACTCAGAAATATAGTCTGATGGTAGGACTTCTGTTTGAGAAAACTTCTTGACTAAGAGCTTATTACTGTTACTTTCTTTGCTTACATCTGCCCATCGCTGCAGGGCATCACAGTCTTTTCAGGAATTCGTGGGACATTTCTGTTAAATCAATTTCAATGTTAATAGAGAAAAAGCATTACACTTTTGAAATCTGCTATACCAAACCACAGGGGAAAGGCCACTCAGAATGACATTTTCTAGCAATGCATTTAACTTTTAGTATTGCACATTTTAATAACTAAATGGAAAAAAGTAAAACAAGGAAAGTTATTAAAAATACAACTTATAGTAATTTAAACTATATAAAGTAATGAGAGCAATGTAATACCAGCATTATTACTTTATAGACAAACATCATAAAATAATGCATCATTATAATAATAGACCCATAATATTAAAGATTTACTGGATCTTTAACTTGAAGGCAATTTTTTGAATCCTGGATTAAGGAGGCTACTAATTTTTAAAGTAGATTCCTTTCTTTTCATGAGTGTAAGTTTTTAAAATGAAGAGGTAGCACAACAACGTGAATATCCTTAACACCACTGAACCACATGCTTAGATGTGGTCATGATGATGAACTTTGTTATATTTTTTACCTCAATTAAAAATAAAAATTTAAATGTAAAACAGAGAGGCAAATGGGAGAAAAACAGGAAAAAAGGAAGGAGTGAAAGGGTGCTTGCAGGAGAAGACAGAGAGCCCGGAAGATGGAAGGGATGTTGGGTGGGAGGGGAGGAGAGATCAAAGGAGAGGAGGATAAATAAAGTAGAGGGAGTGGAGACTGAGGGAGGGAAGACAGGGAGCAGAGGCACAGAGAGAGGAAAGGGGGGAATAATAGAGAGAAGGACGGGAAAGGAGAAAGAAAAAAGATGGGGCATTAGAGAGGTGCAAAGCGACAGAGGACCACAGAGAAGGAAAATAGGGTGGGGAAGGAGAGGTGAGAGCAGCAAAGAGGGTAAAGCACACGTTGGAAAAGAAAAAAAAATGTCTAGGGAAACAGCCAAAAGACAGAAACAGGAACTAGAAAAAGGAGAAAGGAATGAAGTAGAAAAGCTGAGGGAACTGAGGAGCCCTGTAAAGAGGGTAAAAAGAGGTGGGGGTAGAGGTAGGGGAATATAGAGACAGAAACTAAAGCAGAAACTGGGAGAAGCTGAGAAAAAATAAAAAAGGAAACGAGAGGAAAAACTAAACACCTTAAAGGGACTCTTATTCATGATCGCGTTCTAGAAATGTCTATGCTAGGGAAATTCCCCTTTAAACAGCATTTCCCTACACCCTACACATTTTGACTTACCATGTCTTTATTATCATCATTAGTGCAAGGTATTTTCTAATTTCTCTTGTGAGATCTGTTTGGCTTATTAAAATGTGGTTGTTTCACATCTGAGCAGTTGGGAATTTTCTTTCTTTTTTAAAAAATTGATTTATAGTCTAATTCTACTGTATTTTGAAAAATACCATTTATACTTTTGGGAAAAAAAATGAAGAAATTTCAGACTTTTTTACTTGTATTAATTTAAACCAGTGATCTGAGGAGAAAAGCTGCTTTTCGTTTCCTCAAACCCTTGAGATCATTAGGTCAAAAAGAGACCAACATGGAAATCCTTCAATCCGTGGTATAAGACAGTGGCCTCCAAACTCTGTACACCCACACCAAAAAAGAAATATATCTTATACCACGACCTCACACACCCTTGGAAACAAACATTTTACAAAATATATATGTAGGTCGCTCTGATATTTTCTATTCTATTATACCTTTTAAATGCTTTTTTGACCCACTAAATTGCTTCCACAGCCCATAAATGGGAAAACACTCACATAGAGCGCACATCTCAGGCACAGGCAAGGTCGCTAAGCTCCTGAACAGCAAGTCGGTGAGAGTGTGGAAGGGATCATTGCTCCCACCCTTCCCTTCCCATCCCTGGGAGCGCTGAGAAGCCATGGAGAGCTGGGCACTGCAGCGGTCCCTGTCCTGGCAAGCTCCCAGAGAAGTCTGTGAACTAATTCAAGACAGAATCTTTTCTATCACTTAGGAACCTGGATTAAAATTACACCTGTATCACTGTATATTCCCAGCAGCTTATTATATTTTTCTATTTACTGTGACTTGCTAAATACTTAATGAAAAAAATTTTTGGACGCAAGTTCCTCCTCTGTCAAATTATTGAAGCTGCTTGATATTCGTAGTAACAGAAACTCAACCAACACTTACACTTGCCTTTGCAAAGCTATCCCGTGCCTTCTCTGCCCTGGGCCTCATCCCTTCCTCACACCTCTCGTCAACAGCCAGATCCCTGCTGCCTTGTGTGGAGAAGGGAGGATTGAAGACTTTCAACAATACACGATTCTCCTCTGAAAAATGACAATTGTGAACCCACAGGATGGGGATTCTGCCTTGCTATGCTGAACACAGGGAATTAATGGCTCTCAATTAGGTTAAACTTCAAATCAGAAGCATGCCTAATTATAAATACATTTATCTAACTAAATGCACACTGCTTAATTAGCATTGTTTTTACATGGGTGACCCAGCAGCATGAAACATCACGTTTCCTTAATATCCAGCCCCCTTCCCTTTACAATTTAATACTACATTTTTCCCCAAGGTTATTGTCCCATAACAAAAACAACCATGTTTTGTCCTCCCCAGGAAGGACTTCCACATCACCCAGAGTGAGTTAGGCATGTTCTGTGTTCTTGTTTCAGTTCAGTGTTGATCGTTTGTATTGTCTATTTAAAAAAATTTTTAATTGACATGTAATAATTGTACATATTTATAGGGTACAGTGTGATATTACAATACCTATATACAATGTGTAATGATCAAATCAGAATAATTAGCATATCCATCACCTCGAACACTCATCATTTCTTTGTGCTAGGAACATTCAAAATCCTCTCTTATAGCTATTAATACTTGAAAATACAGAATAAATTATTGTTAACTATAGTCATCCTACGGTGCTACAGAACACCAGAACTTATTCCTCCTATCCAGTTGTAATTTTGTATGGTAGACAATCTCTCCCGATCGCCTTCCCTTTAAGTCCATTTTTAACATCCATAAATTCTTTAGTTAATTCATTTAAAACACACCTATTATCCCCAAACCATGAGACTTGAACTCTCTTCCTTACACGTCTCATGACCAAGGGCACAAGGACAGGACAACATCTGTATTGCTCTAAAATGAGGACAATAGTTATAGAGTAGCAAAGGGAATCTAATTAATGTGTGTAAGAAGCACGTGGCTCATAGTGTCAGCTTTTGTTATTGTTATTCTGATAGGCTATTTTCTAAGACTGGGGTGCTTTCCCCCAGTCCCTACTTCATTTTCTAGGAAATGCCATTTTACATTAGCCTTCCTGAAAATCCCCTCCCCATCCCCTCACTCTGTCTCTCTAGATGCCCCTAAAATACACTGTTTGCACAGCAGCAGCAGCCATAACAAAGGTGCTTTGTATCACTGACTTAATTCTCACGGCAACCATGAGGTAAGTTCCATGATCACATGTTTCACAGGTGAGGCGACAGGTGGGGGAGAAACAGAGCAACCTGTCCACAGAGACTGGGCCCTGTCACCAGGCCCCGGCCCCATGTATCTCACCCCTACACCTTCTGTCCCTCTCTTGTCCTCTTGAACACCCCTATCAAAGGGGTATCAGGATGCTCTGAAATCAAGAGATCAAAATCTGCTCCTCTCTTGAGCAGCCAGCTAGCTGAGACTAGGCAGCGTGTGCTACTCAACTCCCCAGCCCAGCATCTGTTCAGACCCTGTCTTGATGGGGTGAGTGAGAGTGAGTGTTGAGTTTTTCTTTGTCACTCTAATGTTTGGTGAGTGAGAGGCCCCAGAGTACACTTCTCTTCCACATGAATCCAGATATGTAACTCCAGTCTCACTAGCCCCAAACTCTATTACCAAACTATGCCAAAGCACTGGATTCCTATACCAAGCCTAAGTACAAAGTCTGAGGAAATAAATGCCATCACTAATTGTAAGAAAGCAGTGTAAAGAAAGACAAGATTTCTGACTTATGCTAAAATCTAAAAGGTAGTGAGATCAGGATATGTTACCTTCTTTTTTTCTCATTTTTTTCCCCAATCCACTCCATCCTCTAGGGTAGTCGCTCTCAACCAAGCGGTGTTTTGCCAATAACAACTCAGCCTCACCCCCAACAGCTGACAATGTCCAGAGACATTTCTGATTAGTACAACTGCAGGCAGGGAGGGAGTTCTACTGGCATCTAGTGACTAGAGGCCGGGGATGCCGCTAAACATCCGATAATGCATGTGACAGCTCTGCCCCTTCCCTCAACAACTCAACTGGTCCAAAATGTCAACAGTGCCCAGGTTAAGAAACCCTGCTCTAGGGTAAACAGCCACTGTGGAATGGGGGAACACAGTTTACCTACCCTGTTTTAAGAGGGTAGAACAAAGCTGCTAGTAGGGGAAGATGGTAGTCTCACAGTTAGAATGTGTGGGCCAAACTTCTATTCCCTGCCTGCCCAGTGACAACCCATGAATCACTGGGTTGGACAGCCAGTATAAACTACAAATTCTAGCACTTTCCTATTCCATCCCACATATTCTCTGAATAGTCAAATTAGGTACTCACCCAGCTGCGCCCAGAGTGGATTATATGGATGTGTTTTCGCCAGCATGTTCACTGACTGAGAGGTGCGTTTCTCCGAGAAGGCTTTAATGGGAGGGTGATCCACAGGCATGACCGTTGGTACCCAGGCCAGGTGGTAGGTTAACACTGCAGTCAATAAGGCAGCAAAAAACCTTGGAGAAATGGCAGAAAATACAACCAGATTACTCAGTGCAGGAAGAGGCATGTCCTATATAGCACGTCCACTAGCTATGGAATTTGCCTATAAACATCCAGAGAGTTAAAGCTTACTGGTTTTTGTTGATCTGTTCTATTAGAAGTGTAAACTCCTTGAGAAAGCGCTGGCAGAGCTGGGTTTTTTCCAAAGTGCTAGACATCATGGTAAGCCATACAGGTTCAGCTATCCTTGGAACAGAATATAAGTTCCAGATAGTTCCTCTGTAGAAGAGAAAAAGAAGGGATGCACAAAACTGTTACAAATATTATTTTGGATAACCTTGGTATAAAAGAATAAACGAGAAAACAATAATTTGGATTTATATAGTCCTTAAGGGATTCAAGCGTCATACATAATAGGGGTTGCAAACTATGGCCCACAGGGCCAAATCTGACTGCTACTTTTCATAAATAAAGTTTTATTGGGACACAGTCATGCTCATTTGTTTATATATTGTCTATGGCTGTTTTGCAGGAAAAAGGCAAAGTTGAGTTGCTCTAACAGATTTTTTACAGAAAAGTATGCCAACCACTGATATAAAATATCCATTTTAAAAACAATTTATTTTCACAATGCCTGTGTCAGAATTTACAACCATTTTTATAGTAAAAAAATAAAGAGAGAAAGAAAGTATATGCCATAATGAAAATGTGACCGGGGGCAACTCAACTCTCCCAATTTCTGGTTAATGCTTTGGGGTTCACTATGCTAAAGAACTCTATTCATTTTAGATGGAAAAAACCACACAAATGGCTCTTGTTTATTATATAATATACTAAGTTTTTACATGGAGGCCTAGAGAGATTCGGTTACCTGCACAAGACATACAAATATTTAATGACAAGGTCAGGGTGAGAATTCAGTTCTCAATACCTGGCACAGAGGACTCTACTCAAGTTATATGCCTCACAAATGCTTTTGGAAAGAGCGTACTAACTTGGCTTAGGATGTCCACTTAAAAGGTCATTGTATCTCTGAATTTAAAACACATCCACTATTCCTAAATCAAGACAGATGAGATTTATTTCGACTTGGCATTCTAAGTGTGTATAGGAAAGAGTTGGGACACAACAGAATTCTACCTTGACAAAAAACAAAGCATCTGCTGAGTTAGGCAGCAATGGCAACAGTTACATGTCACTAGGATTCATTTACTAAAACTAATGCTAACATTTTATTCTGTCATCATTTCTGGAGGGTTTGATTGTTTAAGCAAGAACAAGACCTAGGTACACTGTGAGGTTTTTTGGTTCTGTATTTTCAGTTTCTTGATGCCTGAAAAATGGATACTTTCATGAAAGTAGTATGTAGACTCTTGAGCACAAGCCAGAATCTAGTCTGACCATAGTAGACAACAGGCACAACCAGTGATGCCAACACAAACTATGGAAGGTTTACTAATCATCAGATTGCCATCAAAAAACACAACCTCACATTCTTTCTCCCAAACATGACTTCAGTTTTAACAATCACCAGATAATGACTAATGTGTTACTTGAGTTCTTCATGTATAACCCAGAGCTCATAAAGGCTGGCAATTTTGTTCCAGGTAGCATTATGGAGTTCACCAGCATATACTTTAAGCATCATAAAATGTTCTAATATTCTGCGAACTGTAAAATATTTTTATCCTCCAGCTATGGAGTAACAGTTTGACTCATTAGCTCATGAGTGCTTTGGAGTGGGGCTCCATTCCCCATCGAGACATTGGCTCTAGGAAATGGTGCAACAATCCCAACTCAGCGTGATGGGACAGAATCCCACCTGCTACCCAAAGCAGTGCACCTTTCCACCCAGACATTAGGTGCAAGGACTCTAGAAAACCAGTTTCCAGAGTACAAGGATCATCAGTTAGAAATTAACTATGAAGACACACTAATGTGCTCGTATAATTTAATGCCCAGACCAGGAAACTTATGAGAGGACACTGGGTATAAACTAGGACCTTTCTGGCAAACTGAACTGTATGTCTCCCTGACATGCATACTCCCTCCACCTATGCTTTGGATAAGCATCTCTGAACTCAAGTGTCCGCATCTGTAAAATGGGGTTAATAGTGCTTACCCTTAGGGCTTTTATGAGTATGACATGAGATAATGAACAGACTGATAAGAGACACCTGAATATTAGCTTTCTCCATTCACCCTATTAAAACAGTCATGTCGAAGACTGTCGGGCAGTAGTGAGGGTTACTCAGTGGTAGGTTACTTAAATTTTTTGCTCTATTTGGTCTCAGATTCCATCTTGAAGGGAGAAGCTGCTAAAGAAACTAATAATTGCCAGCCTCCCAATTCTCCCAAGGTACGGGTCTCTCTGTACCCCTAGGTCCATGGCTGCTGTTGCTACCACTGCTCATAAATATCCCTTGTTTGATTTGCCAAACTTTGCCACTTTACCTGAACTCCCCCAGAGCTTCCATCAGACGGCTGACATAAAACTGGACGCGGAGGCTTGATTCTGCTATTTTCCTGCAGGAGATCATGGCCTTCGTTGAAGAGAAAGCAAGCCAAATTACCGAGAAGAAATTTTATAACATATCTACTGGGATTTTTAATGAAAGATAATATTATAATCAATTAGAAACACTCAATAATGCCTTCAGCCATGAAAAAGCAGTAATTTCCTTCCCTCCAGCAATCCAGTGTCTGGTAACTAACAACGAAACCTAAGGATCTACCACTGCTGTGGGTGATTTAACTTCTTTAGGAAAGAGATCTGATACATAAACAAAGTGATTCTATCATCTTTAAAGCCCCACAATTGCTTCTTTATTTGACATTGGATTACATTCCTATTACCTTTTCAATTGCACTCTTCAGCCTGTTCATGTGAGATTCAAACAGGGGAAAATGAGAAAAAAAGAAGTCCTGGAAATTCCTTTGTGCCTCTTCTTTCTCACACAAGGAAAAGATGATGCTTATGGCAATTTTCTTCCTCCTAACCATGGCTGGATTAGAACTACAGGTTTCTTCAGCCAAGCTGAATGTCTCATCAGTTGACCTGGAGGAAAAAGAAGTTTGAAAAGTTGCCATGCATCAGTGAGACACACTGAAGACAAACTGTGATGTCTGGGGACAGCATTCAGAAAGCTACTTCAGAACACTCAGTCTTAACTAGGAATTTGTCCACCTCTAGTTCATTCTCCTGTGTAATTCCCTGTCATGAAAAATGAGAAGAACAGCTTGCCACACAGTATTATCCTAACGTGAAAAGAAACTCAAATGAAAACAAAAAGTAATTTAAATGTCCCCTTATGAGACTCTTGTCCTTTTCCCTGGGTCATTTTTATGTCAGGTTGACGGTATTTAGGAAGGAGTGTGAAATACCTGTTTGCTCAAAATATAGGTCCTTTGTCTTGGTTGCCAGATACCAATAGATGAGAGTTAGAAGAGGAATGATTCTAACGTGGTATTCTGTTCAACAAAGGCATATTTGAATATTTACTGGTACTTCCAGGCTTGTTTCCCAAGGCTATTAAAACCACTAGATGAAGTTACTCCTCTAAAGGCTCAGATTAAGCCACGAGATTGACCAAGCTCTCTGGGAAATCCCCCAAGCAGAAAGACTCACCTTTCTTCTGTTATGATCAAATTCCCAAAAAACTTATGACTCTTTTGAGAGACTCTGCTTTTATGATAAGAGCCATGAAGCCAATAAATTCTAGATATATATTCAATTTGTCTTAAGGAGTAAGCCTCACAAATATGGCCTAACCAAGTCTCTTACTCAACTATTGTGAAAAGCTAGTATAGCTACCCCATAGCTACTGAGAGCAAGAGTGAAAATAAAAGTAGTAATTTGTTCTTTTTCTACAAAGACACCAAAGCAAAGGACATAATATATTGTAAATGAAAGCATCTAGCCTGGCACACAGTAGGTATGCAATACATTTTCTCTTTCTCATTGACTCCACCATTTAGTTTCATATCTCTGCCAAACATGGGAAGGAACCGCTTCCTCCATTTTCGGTAATGCAAATTACAACATAATAATTACTTATGCTGGGCAGAATTCGAGGCAATTAGCCTTCTGCCCTTGGTCTTAAACTTCTTATTTAGTGCTCTACTCACAGTCTATAATAGCTCCTTTGATTTCAAATATATCCAGATTTTATTAAACATATATACATCAAATGTTTTATGGTCAGGAAAGCTATTTTATTTTTAAAGAAAAGGAGATAGACATCGCAGTTATGTTACCATTTCCCTTAACTTTAAGCAAGACCCTGGAGATGTAGATATGGTTGATAAATCAGTAAAAGGTTTTCACTCCAGACATGTCACTGGCAGCACATGGTGCTATTGTAGATGCATTAACTGTTCTCTCTGAGAAATCCCTAGATACTAATCATCAGAAAAACATCTTTCTCAGATGCTTTCACAGAACTTCACACAATCTCATACAATGCTCCCTCTTCTTTTCTAAAATACCTGTACTAAAACCTTGTTTTCCTGCACTAGTTTATTCTTTTCTGCATACGAAATTTTTCTGAGCTTATATTACAAGACTTGCAATCCTTTCCTCTTTGGTGTCTTCTATTTCCCATCTTTTTCAGAAGTAAGATGACCGTATCAGTCCACTCATCTTCAGGCCAACTTGATCTTTAATAACCAAACTGCGATAAACATTGAATCCTATGCAGCTTTATTCACCATCTTCATCTCCACTCTATAAACAATAGCCACATATTTCATCAGTTTTACTATAGCAGAGAGTGCCACCTGCTGAATTTCTGAAAAATTTCCACAGCTATAATAGAGTGGATAATTCTTACTTGCTTCACTATATCCCTCTACTGAATTCTAAAGCATATGTGCTTCATTCTATAGACTTGGATCAACCACGGAATCTAGAATAAATCAGGTCACGTGGTGTGGTAATTACATTTTAAAAATTCTTCTAAAATAAAAGGGTGTTTGAGAATGTTTCCAAAAATTTAAGTGTACACTCAAATACTTCATCATATCTTTACCCCCAAGTCATCAGGGAAGGTACACAGGCTTTTTTGCAAATGTGGAGACCAAGGCAGAGTGCATATTCAACTTGCCTCGAAAACAGAAGGCTTCTGGGTAAACAATGCTGGACTTAGAAACTAGGGTTTCTATCTTCTAGTCCAGGCTCACTTCTGGGACACTGGAAATGACCAGGGACTCTGACCCCATGCCTACTCCATCTGCTGGTGCTCATGCTATCCAATGCAGCACGCCAGCTGGAGCGCTGAGGGGAAGGAGCTGGACGCAACTGGATCAGCTGACAGGCCTTTGAGTCAGGGAAAGACTGTGGCTACACACACAATTTTTTTCCCTTATAAAGAAATCAAATAGAATTTTGTTGATATTTACGAATAAGCATTTATGTACACTGTAAGTACTTTAAAATCACAAATAACTGAAGCCGAAACTATGATTATTTAAGTATATCTCAATAATCTATAATTGATATCAGGACTGCTTAGTCTAATTGTTGTTTATGTTACCTTTGAACTTAACACTAATCTATGTATTACATTGGACCATATGAAATTTGACATCTTCGAAGGTCAAAGAATGTTCCATCAGCATAATTCAAATCAAAAGGCTTTCCTGGGACATTATACCTTGGTCCTTTAGGGTTTCAATAGCCTCACTATGTGATGGGATCTCTGAGGCTTCTCTTTCCCTGTAGACAGTACTGCTGTACCAGCTGTTAGACGCCCAAGCCCCTTTCCCCATCTGGGAATCAAAGCTTATACCTGGCATAGCCAACTGTTAAGAATTGTGAATATCATCCCTGACTACCATTAACTGTTTTAATCACTGTGTATTCTCTCTCAAAGCCACAAGCAATCATAATTTTTGGTACCCACTGTCCTCTTGTCTCTAGTATAAGAAACTAAATTTTCCACCCCCATACCTACCAAAAATGAGAGATCAAATTGCAACATCCTTTAAGTGAATGGATCTTCACAGGCACAGTGATCAATTCAAAACGTCTGCTGTACTTACATTCCCAGTGTTCAACGGGTCTCTATTAAGGGCTGGCTGCATGAGCTGGCGACCCTGCTCACACAGGGCCCTGCTCTCAGGAGGACCCCGCTCTTAGAAGGACCCCAGGCTTTGTTTCATGTTCTGTGATTGCTGTCTTTGATTCGTCATAATTTTATCTTTGAACTTGTGTGTTGTAAGTAAATTCTCATGGGACAATGAAGCATGTGTTGGGGCTCAGGAATACAAGACTTTTCTGATCCCCCTCCTGCCCCCGTCTTTCCCTTAAGGCAGGCCACAGAAACCAGAATTCCTCTTCCCAAAGGTAGGTCATAGAAACTGGAACCCCTTTTCCCCCAAGCCAGCCATAAAACTTAAAAATATTGTCCTAACATTCTCCTGCCTTTCTGTATAAGGGCTGGCCAAAAAGAAATTCTCTGACCTACCTTGTCTGAAAGTAAATCACAAGACCCTCATTCCAGAAGGGGTCCTGCCCTAAAGCTGGGGGGAAGGAATGCTACACAGAGAGGTCAAGAAGAATTCTGAACAGACAGGTCTTGCTGGTTTTTTCTGCTTAAGTCTATTACTATTAGATCATATCCTTTTGTCCAACCACATTTCCACGTGGCTGTCCATTCTTCATCAAACCTAAGCATAAAAATAAAACAGTTTTCTCTAGGTCTTTAGGTCTTTATTTCTGAAAGCTCTCATGTTGTGTAAAACTTTGATTAAATAAATTTGTTACGCTTTTCTCTTGTTAACCTCTATTTTGTTATAGGAATGTCAGCTATGACCCTTATGATGGGGAGGAACATTATCACACCCTTTTTCACCCTGCACATGCACACAAGCAGTGAAGACGCTGGACAGCAGTTTGTACATGGGTGGGCTCAGAACCAAGGGCATGCTACCCAGACTCTGGGCAACTGGCCTGGCAGTCAGGCACACACCCACATGTCTGAGGCAGGCCAGGGACTTGGACCCAGACTGATGGCTGTGACAGTGGCGAAAACAGAAGCAGCAGCAGCCATGGTGACGAGAGATGGGGGAGAGGAGGCAGGAGGGACTCCAGCAGCTTCAGGAACCATGGTGAGAGGCCAGCTTGCCCATCCATCACTGCAGCCTGTCCCCATGGAGTCTGCACAAATATTTAACTCTCTGACCTGAGCCCCAGGACAGTAAATTATCACAAAGTAAAAGCCTACACAGAGACATTGCAATAAAGCATATCAGGAGTTCTTAGAATTCCCCAGAGAGTTTATTAATCTCTGGTTTTGAAAACTGCTGCAATACTGCAAAGCAAATATTCACAGGCATAGAAATAGAAACTGAATGTAAAGATTATCATACTGGATGAAAAAACCCCACTGTTTACACATGAAGCTTCAGATGAACAAATTATTAATGAAGATCATTTATTTAACAATTAATTTTTCCTCATAATTGAGGACACAGTGATAGAATGCATAAATAGGCATTTTGAATGATATACAACTCATAAGGACATTTTTAATTTCTTACAAGATCTCCATGAGTTGCAGGAAATGTTAGAAGAAACATTAAAATAATCTTGTATAAATTTACACCTAAAATTAAATTCAGACTTCCATGAAATAGAACCGTGTGAAGAACTAAATCTTTAAAAAATTGTTCCACAAGAATCATCTGATCTCGATGTGCTAAAATTTACATTTGGACAGTTTATCTGAAATTTATCCCAATGTTGTCATAGCCCATAAAGCTGCATAACATCACATCAGCAGAAAGATCCTTCTCCAAGTAAAAAATTACCAAAAATTATTTGCCACCTTACATTTGCCAGGAGTGACCAATATCACTTTCAGTTATGTTGACTGAAAGCCAAGTTGCTAAAACTATAAATATTGATGACCTAACAAGTAAACTTGTAGAAAAGTGAACCAGAAAAATCTTATGATGACCCAAGATATCATATTAAATATTTATTATGTTATATAGAATTATGACACCAAAAATATTATTTTGGAAATTTATAAGTTTATGTTATTATTCATCTATCACTGTTACCTCTATTACATCTTAAAATAAAATATTCTTTAAAAAAACTACCTTTTAGTGTCTTTTATGGTACTTTTCTTGCTTTTTAGGCAAGAGGTTCAAACAGTTCCATTTTGTACTGGTCCCATAAATCATGTAGCCAACTATGACTGTATTCACAGGCTTTCTGAACGTCAGAAACTTATTTTAGGTATAAGTTCACTAGAGAGTCATTAGTTCCCAATGCCAGGTCTCAATTCAAATTAGAGTGTTGAAGAATTTTGGAGGAGTGAGTTGAGGAATACTATTCAACTTTGGATTTAAACCTGAAGGGATGCGAAAGCATTTTCAGTAAAGAGAAGATGTCTGAAGGGGAAGGTTTCCAAGACCCAATTCTTCCAATCACACTGTGAGAATGGTGAGGATGGTAGCAGCGCCTTTTCCTGACAGTTGGCAGTAATGGTGACAATAAGAATAGCAACCATAGCAGTAGCTAATTCGTATTGACCAGTATTTTATTTACCATATGCTGTGTCCTGGCTAAATGCTGGTCTTGCTGCAACTCATTTAACCCACCCAACCACACTCTGAGGCTGTACCAATATTATTATCACATTGCAGATGAGGAGGCAACACTTAGAATCTGGCTTAACTTGCTCCACCATTCATCGCCATTCATCTAGTGAGTGGCAGAGCTAGGTCTTGTCCTCACGCCAAATTCCAACCCCTTCATGACTCTACTGGAAATCCCCCAACCACAAAGTAGCTCCTCAGTGAGTGATGCAACTACAGTTTTTTCTTTTTGTCCAGCTCCTGAGGATTGTGAGCAGAACAGGGGAAGAGGCAAGCAGCCCAATGTGTGCTACACACATGCCCAACCTCTTGTTTCTCAGCGTGTACCACTCTTCCACAAAGGGCCCCAATTCCCCCGTGACCATCCCTGTTTTCTTCCTCTTAGGAATCCCACAGCACTTATGGCTCCCATGGCATTTATCATGTAACAGCCTTATACCATTATTTATGTGTATACCATCTCCTTCACCAGTCTGTAAAGTACTTAAGTGCAGGCACGTAGATAAAGATGTTTATGCCTTCACAGATCCTGACATATAAGAATTACTAGTCAATTTACTAAGTCAATTAATTGACATGTGAATTTTTATAGGTACACATAAAAACTCCCCTTTAAGTTTTTGCGCTATAGGAAGAAGAGGTTGGAAGCTGCTGATGTAACATCAAATGTACATTTTGCACACAACTAAACTTTAGATTCAAAAATCAACTGAAATAAAGACAGAAAATACCTAGATGCTGTCTCTATAATCATATTCATGTCTGTTCAGTTTAAGAATTTAAGTTTTACAAAAAGAATATGTCACAAACCCTTGATTTCATATATTTCACATACCACGTTGGTATCGCTGTAGCCAAGGAAGAGATTTATCCCTCCCTTCATTACTTATAAAAGCTGCACTTGAAGGGATCCAATTTAAAAAGAGCATACTCATTTTAAATTAACACCAAATCTAGCTCATATACAACACAACTACCCAAGTATTTCCCAGTGTCTTCCAAATGAGAAGATTTCTTTTAAAGCTTTTATTTATTCTTTCTTTATAACTTCTAACTTGTAAACTTTCAGGCTAAGCTGAAACTAATCAAAAAGTTTCAGCTCTTTTTCCATTGACATCAGGCAAGTAAGTACAGCTGTCCTGACAGTTTCACCAAGCTGCCTATGCTAGTACTTTTCTCAGTAAGAGGAAACCTGCAACTCACCTCCTTGGAAAGATGCCATTTTCCAGACTTGTTGTCTGACTTCGAAGCCAGCGGCGCTGGTAACTGCTGGAAGAGGATGTAGAGGAGCTTGGAGATGGGAAAGGCGTGATCAGAAGACTGCTTAGAGAGGCTGTGGAGCAGAAAATTTGAAATTTGACAGTTGAGGTAAATGAGTCCTTACGTAGTTACATAATGTACAACATTATGAGTATATTTAATACCACTGAACTGTACACTTAATAATGGTTAGGATGATAAATTTTATATTATGTATATTTTAACATAATAAAAAGATTGGAAGATACATATATGTAAAGTAATCTAAATTTTCGGATTCTACCAGTCTTATCCAGCAGGGGGAGACTGTAACGTCTTCCTTACTAAGATTTCTGTACAGCAAAGAAAACACCATTTAAAAAGGAAAACAAATTAAAGGAAATAAGGATTACAGATATAGCAAGTGCATAAATTATCAGGCCACACATTATAAATGCAAAATAATTATTATTCCAATTAAAGTATAAACCGAAGATTTTTGATAAAATGGTCCACATAACTGTTTATATTGCTACCTGGTAAATAATGCCATGTACAATGCTTACTTATACATATTTCCTCCTCTTGACTACTACCTTCACTCTATATTTTGAGGTGAAATTTAGGCAAATGAGTATTTCTTCCTCCTTCCCAAACCCCATCTCTAAATATACAACACTTATCCTCCTTCCCTCCAGCTCCCTTGCTACCCTCTTGCCTGTGAAAAAGCAACCTCTAGTCTTAAACATACTTTCTGCTTGGATTATCTATTTGCCTCTGAGCCTCTCTGTCTCCTGCTACATAATATTAGATGTCTACACTTGGGCTCTCGGGAAGTATGAGCCGACTGAAACCCCCCCCGCCCCCACTTTTCTAACAGGCAAGGAAGGACTGGTCCCTCTCAGGGCAGGCAGAGGGTTTCTTTCAAGTCATGGCTGTTTGATGAACATCTGCTGGTTTGGAAGAATGAAAGAAGAAGACAGACTTGTTCTGCTTTTACTTCCCTAGGGCTAAGGAATTAGGCACTGAAATGTCACTCTGTCTAGTGGAAAAGAAAATGGGGTGCTGCAGATGGCTGGTCAACATTTTCAGAAGCAAATCATAGGGCAAAGGAAACTGATGTCGATAAATATGGCATACTACGCTTGTGGACATCACCTGATAAGGCGGTTTTCTCCATATAAACGATTACATTTTTATTTACACTTTTGCAGGCAGATGCAAATAACTCAACTCCCTGACCTGAGCTCTTAAATACTACAGGAGTTATCTGGCTACTTGTCAATAATAAAAACCCGGATGCTGGAGAGTACCAAATGGGACAGTGGAGGAAAAGACAGACTTGCCTTCATGGAGCTTCAAGTCTGTAAGAATATCAATGACCATGATAACGTGAGCTTCTTTCCACAGCAGAGGTATATGGGATGCTTTTCTTTGAATCTAGTCAATAGTCACAGAAAATTTTTTTGGTGGGTCTTATTCATTTTTGTATCCCTTGTACCCAAGGCAGTGCCCTTAACACAGTAGGCAACTGGCAAATATTTACTGAATATGTAGCACTTTTTTTTTACTGAGGTGTTGCCCACATGTGGCTGGCCTCAGAAGCTCCCCCTGTTCTGATCTGGCTCCAGTAAGTCACCAAGACCAAATCTACATTTCAAATATCAATAAGAGGGTAATTTTACTGAGAATTTTGGAGTTAGAAGAGAGCTCTTGCTCAAATTCACACAAAGTTACTTAATAAAAAAAAAATCCCAGGCTGGGCATAGTGGCTCACTCCTATAATCCTAGCACTTTGGGAGGCTGAGGCAGGAGAATTACTTGATATTCAAAGTCCCCATATGGTCCAGAAGACCCCTCCCAGATCTTTAGGTTCCCTGCCTATCTCCTTGTCTTATGCTGAGCAAATCATCTTCCTGGCATGTGGAGAGCAGGGTTGAAGGTTGGTATTTGTTTGCTAAACAATTTTTTTCTTATCACAGTGTTGAGGCTCAGAAAACAATACCCCAAAGTATGGTGCTTTGGCATGCTGAGTCCTTTGAACTAAAGGAACCTTGGAAAAATCTCAGAAGCAAAGTCTCTCTAACTGTTTCTCCTGCTCTCCTTTCTACCCCAAGGGTCACAGAAACTAAAATTCCTCTTCCCCAAGGCAGGCCATAGAGAGTGGAACCACTCTCCCCAAAAGCCAGCCATAAAACCTAGAAATATTACTTTAAATTTACCCCAATTTTCTGTGTAAGAGCTAGCTATAAAGAAATTCTCTGACCTACCTTGTCTGAAAGTAGATCATAAAAGACCCTCATTCCACAAGGGGTCCTGCCCTATACGTGGGAGGAAGGAATGCTACACAGAGAGGCCAAGAAGAATCAGGTCAGACAGGCCTTGCTGGGTTTCCCCCACAGTCCATAAGCATTAGACTATTCTCTCTTTGTCCAAGCATATTTCCATATGGCCGCCTACTCTTCATCGAATCTAAGCATAAAAATGGACAGATTTCCCTTGGGTTTTTGGATCTTCATTTCTGAAGCCTCCAGTGTCATGTAAAATTTTGATTAAATGAATCTGTTATGCTTTTCTCTTGTTAACCTGTATTTTGTTATAGGAGTGTCGGCCATGATCCTTATAAGGAGAAAAGGGATCACACCCTTTATGCCCCTACAATGAAAACAAGACAGGTCCAATTTATTCTGGAAATTATCTGTATTGTATAATTCAGTTTCGCAAACTGAGTTAAAACCCAGGCTCCTTGCTCAAATCCTAATTCTGCCACTTAGTAGCTGTTACTCTTGGGCGGTTTACTTAACCTGTCAACTTTCTCATCTGTAAAACGGAGACAATAAAGTATCACACCTAAGTATTTTTCATGAGAGTTGCAATCTGCTAGTGAATTTTGAATTGTTTAGTGAATCAAAACCAACACTTAAAAAAAAAAAGAAAATTTAAAGTATATTGTACTGTAAATATTAATCCATGAAACTTTTGTTCATTATATATAAAGAGATTTATTACTGGATCATGATGTAAAATGCATTAGCATGGATTGCAGACAAAAGAAAAATGTGAAAAACACTGACCTATTTCATAAGGTCCCTGCAAAGATAAAACAAATCGATATATGTGCAACACAACACAGTGTCCCACACAATAAATGTTAGCTATTCACTCCCTTTGATAATTCTTGGAAAAGGTGGGCCAAGTAAGACATTTTGGAGTTCTAACACATTATTAGTTCTGATTAAATAATTATGAAAAGACTTGTAATAGAGACATGAAAAGGGAAGGCAAATAATAAAAAAATAGAAAAGAACATTCCTTTCTTCCTGCTGAATGGCAATTTTTATGTCAAGACATTTATAGCTTAGTGCTATCCAGCATTTCCTCATGAAAAAAATTTTATTATTTAAGATTTTTATATAAAAGTACTGTGGCACATCACTATCAATCGTACACTCTAGCAAACAATATAGTACGACTTTGCAATGCAAGAGCAGGACTAATCTTAACCTGCAAACCACTGCTATTTTCATGATTAAAGGGTGGATTCAGATATCTGTTCAATCAAAATTAGTGCATTTGAACATTGGCCTGGCTCAGGTCTGAAAGGCAGCACCGTCTGATGCAATGCTGGGCTCTGGTGTGCATTTGAACCATCTGAGGAGCTTGTTTAAAATCAGAGCTACCCCCAGCTGATTCACTACCTGGCAACAGAGCCTGGCATCTGCAAGATACTGAAAAGAGCTTTTGCTTGAGAGTTCAGTGGTGTGGGTTCCAGCCCTAGCGATGCCCCCAATTACCTCTGTGAACTGGAAAAAAATTCTTCAACTGGTGCCTCAGCTATAAAATGTAAGACTTTTAGTTAAATTGTTCATAGGCTCAGTTTCAGTTTTAAAAGTGCTATAATCTAATGCTCCTTAATACTTTTAGTATCACTTTTGTTTTTCCTATATTTTCATAATTAGAAAAAAGTTAATACACACAGATTGCAAAAACTTTTGCAGCCTTATGCATTAATAATAAAGATTATCCCTAGTTCCATTACGAGGAGATTACTGTTAACACTTTATACCTGGTTAACCCCCAATAGAAAAAACTGCACTTTGATCCCCACCTTCCTGTATAGGGAGGAGTCTTCAACTAGCATCTGTTTATTTCTGCAGAGATTAACAATGAGAAAAGAGAATAAGTCTAAAGATTTAAAACCACTGATTCTTGCTCTTCTTGGCATGTGCCATTCAAGTTCAAGATTAATGTTTAATTTTCTCTGAAAAACTGTTCGCTATTTTGACAGTTTACTAGACACTCTGTACTGATGATGTGACTACAGAATTTGGATTTTACCAAATAATGCCCTGGAACTCTTAAGTCAAATCCATTCACTCAACAAATATTTATTGAACACCTATTAAGACCCTGGCACCATGCTAGGGACCTGAGATGGAAACTTACAGGATATCTGCCCTTAAGAAGCCTACACTCATGGAATAAATAAATGTTTCAGACTGTGATAACTACTATCAAATAAGTTACTATGATTTTCTTTAAGTAACTAGGGCAAAGGCTTACAGGTAGGTGGTAAATTCTTTAATCAGTGGTCAGAGAACACCTTTATGAAAATGGGACATCTCAGTTGAGACGTAAATGCCAACAAGAGCCAGCCATGGAAAGGGCTCAATGGGAGGGCATCCCAGACATTCTATATGAAAAGAACTGGATATTATTAACAATTACACAAAAACTGGGCATACTTCTACTTATATATATGGATGGACATATTTTCCTCCCTCATTCAAATATTCATTGAACATCTACTATATGCTAGGCACCATACAAGCTGCTGGGGATAGAACAATCAGTGTGATGGACTGAGTGGGTTTCTGCCCTCATGGAGCTCACATTCTAAGGGAGAAGAAGAAACAAACAATAGTCTCCAAGGAACTAACAAGATAACCACAGAATGTGGTAAGTCACGAGGAATAACCTTGACTATGAAAAGGAGTGCAAAACTCTAGATAGAACTCAGCAGCAGTTACCATTTCTTCAGTGGGAAGAATTTTGAGGGTGGCATATTTATCTTGCTAAGAAATATAATGATAA